CAGGAGGTAGGTGTATGTGTGTCAAAGTCAACAATCAAGAGAAGACTTCACCAGAGTGAATACAGAAGATTCACCACAAGATGTAAACCATTGGTGAGCCTCAAAAACAGGAAGGCCAGATTAGAGTTTGCCAAACGACATCTGAAAAAGCCTTCACTGTTCTGGAACAACATCCTATGGACAGATGAGACCAAGATCAACTTGTACCAGAGTGATGGGAAGAGAAGAGTATGGAGAAGGAAAGGAACTGCTCATGATCCTAAGCATACCACCTCATCAGTGAAGCATGGTGGTGGTAGTGTCATGGTGTGGGCATGTATGGCTGCCAATGGAACTGGTTCTCTTGTATTTACTGATGATGTGACTGCTGACAAAAGCAGCAGGATGAATTCTGAAGTGTTTCGGGCAATATCTGCTCATATTCAGCCAAATGCTTCACAACTCATTGGACGCCGCTTCACAGTGCAGATGGACAATGACCCAAAGCACACTGCAAAAGCAACCAAAGAGTTTTTTAAGGGAAAGAAGTGGAATGTTATGCAATGGCCAAGTCAATCACCTGACCTGAATCCGATTGAGCATGCATTTCACTTGCTGAAGACAAAACTGAAGAGAAAATGCCCCAAGAACAAGCAGGAACTGAAGACAGTTGCAGAGGCCTGGCAGAGCATCACCAGGGATGAAACCCAGCGTCTAGTGATGTCTATGCGTTCCAGACTTCAGGCTGTAATTGACTGCAAAGGATTTGCAACCAAGTATTAAAAAGTGAAAGTTTGATTTATGATTATTATTCTGTCCCATTACTTTTGGTCCCTTAATAAGTGGGAGGCACATATGCAAACTGTTGTAATTCCTACACCGTTCACCTGCTTTGGATGTAAATACCCTCAAATTAAAGCTGATAGTCTGCAGTTAAAGCACATCTTGTTCGTTTCATTTCAAATCCATTGTGGTGGTGTATAGAGCCAAAAATGTTAGAATTGTGTCGATGTCCCAATATTTATGGACCTGATTGTATATATATATATATATGTGTGTGTGTGTGTATATATATATATATATATATGTATATATATATATATGTATGTATATGTATATATATATGTGTGTGTGTGTGTGTGTGTGTGTGTGTGTGTGTGTGTGTGTGTGTATATATATATATATATATATATATATATATATATATATATATATATATATATATATATATATATATAATTTTTTTTTTACTTGCTATAAAACATCCAGTAAAAAAAATAAATCAAATTTTATCATAAATTCAGGCCAAAATGTATTATGCTACATGTCTTTGCTAAAAAACCCCAATACATGTAAATTAATTGGTTTACGTTAGTTATAGCATCTACAAATCGCGGTATATATACTGGAATTTTATTTGTTTTTTATTATTAGTAATGGCGGCGATCAGCGACTTATAGTGGGACTGCGGTGGGAATTCTGACACTGGTGGGGAACTGACTTGATGTCACTGACATCACCAGTGACACCAATACAGTAATTAGTGATAATAAAAAAACACTGATACTGTACTAATGGCACTGGGCAGGAAGGGGTTAACATCTGGGGTGATCAAAGGGTTAGCTGTGTGCTGTTTTTCAGTGTGTGCTGCGCGTTACTGTGTAAGCACACTGTTTTGTATTGCTCTGCTATGCAGAGCAATACAAGGCAGCATGCTGGAGCTGACAGGGGAGAGATCTGTATTATTTTTACATACAGACCTCCCCCCCCCATCAATGATACTTAGCGATCACGGGATGCTGGAATAACCGGCCAGGACCCAGTGAAGCCACCGGCAGCTGGCAGCGCAGGTAGGGCATGCATGTGCCCCCTACCCAGAAATACATGCAAAATCACGTGTGTGTGTGTGTGTGTATGTATGTGTATGTATATGTGTATATATATATATATATATATATATATATATATATATATATATATATATATATGTGCAGTGTGTGTATGTGTGTGTATATATATACAGTATATATATATGCAGTATGTATGTAAATGTGCGCAGCCCTGCCGCCATGTAGCAGTAGTTCTACTATAGGGCGGTCAGGAAGTGGTTAAGAAGAAGAAATAAAAACATGCAGGATGGGTTGGAGAGGGTTCATGTTTTGAGCAGAGTTTGACTTTTAGTAGCTCATATTGGTTCTTTGGGTGGTCCATTTACTTGGTATTGTGCATTTAAAGTCTAAGTAATGTTTATAAACTAAATTATTATGTTGGAAATATACTAAAGTAATACATTTGTATTCCAGTTCATTATACAAACTAAATTCTTCCCTGACAGTCTCTAATTGGTCATTATTATTAACTAAAATATCCGTGCATGGGGACTATGGGCTTTGGAAAGTATTTGCCTTCCCAAACCCTTTCATCAAAAAGAAAAACTGTTTCTTCAATACATATTCAGTTAACTCTGAAGGATATAGGGCATGCTATCTTCGTGTTTTACTTTTATCTTCTGCCTGATGATTCTCTTGTGATGTTTAATATATTCATAACAAATGAATAATCAATACTCATTCCTATTTTAGATTCCTGCAGGCTAAGATACTAACCTTTTTTTTGCATCTCAACAGAGCATAATATTTGATAAAGACTGATATCATTTTATATCTATATCAAATATTTTTAATACAAGTTGAAATGGCCAAAGGTTAAAAATGTTAATATCTTCTGTAGCCTGGTATGCATAGAATACTGCATATGACTATTTTCTATTTTATCTATGGATAGGAGCGGTACTGTATGTCTCCTGTTCAGTTGTTTGCTACTTTTTTCAAGATAAACAGCTGAATGACAAAGCAGACTGGCCTATCTCCTTGTTTTAATTTTTATCTTTGTTTAAACTATGAATGAGAGAAACGCAATTGAGCAGCTGATGCTGGGCTATCTTATTAGGGAAAAAAAAAAACAGATTACTCTGTGAACACAGAATCATGGAAGCACTCTGGACTAAACATTTGTTTCTATAATTAAAATGTTATATCAGTTAAGAAAAGTCAAATGAAAGATCTATGCACTAACAATTATTCAAAAATAATTTAGAACATGATACCTATCTAACTTGCATATTGTTTGTATGTTGACATGCAATCAACGATATGCACCATTTTCCTGTACTGGTTTTTATTTCACAAAAACCATTAAAAATGTATTGTCTCAAAAAGAATTATTTAGATACAACATACCAAACACTATAAAAACAATGATTCCCAGTTTCAGTCTTCCAGTCCCCCCTGAAATTTTGGGAATTTTCTTTTGATAAAATGGATCTCATAAATACCAAGCCAATGACATTGATGTAAATCCTCTTTTCAAGGTGAAAACATTACCTGTCAGGGGTACTTAAGGACTGAGATAGGGAACCACTGCTTTAACCACTTGCCTACCTGGCACTTATACCCCCTTCCTGCCCAGGCCAATTTTCAGCTTTCAGCACTGTTGCACTTTGAATGATAATTGCGCGGTCATGCAACATTGTACCCATATGAAATTTGTATATATTTTTTTACAGAAATAGAGCTTTCTTTTGGTGGTAGGTACTTGCTGCTGGGTGTTTTTATTTTTTGAGCTATAAACAAAAAATAGCAAAAAAATTCAAAAAAAAAAAGTTTTTCTTTGTATCTATTACACAATTTTGCAACAGGTAATTTTTCTCCTTCACTGCTGTATGTTGATGAGGCTGCACTGATAGGCAGCACTGATGGGCACTGATGAGGTGGCATTGATAGGTAGCACTGATGGGCACTGTTAGGTGGCACTGATGGGCAGCACTGATGGGAAGCACTGCAGGGCACAGGTGCGTGGCACTGCTGAGTGGCATAGGTGCATGGCACTGCTGAGTGGCACAGGTGGGTGGCACTGCAGGGCACAGGTGGGTGGCACTGGGTACAGGTGGGCGGCACTGCTGGGCACAGGCGGGTGGCACAGGTGGGAGGCACTGCTGGGGACTGATCATCAGGGCACTGATCCCTTCGCTGGCAATTGCCTGTTCTTGGCAGTACTGACAGCGTGAGGAAAGTGCAGCCGATAACCGGCAACTGTATTTACCTGGTGATCGCTGTGTCATTGGACAGAGCTGATCATGTGGTAAAAGGCTGCCGTAATTTGGCCAATTACCATACCACATGATCAGCTGTGTCCATTAGACAGAGCAATCACATGCGGGGCCAGGTGCGCGCCGCTGGGGGTGCGCGTCCTGGAATGACGTCCATGGACATCGTCCCAGGATTACACAACTATGCTGTAGCCATCCTTTATATCCTGTTGCACCTCTGTAACTGGAAGTGAACAGAAATCTCCCCTATGGATATGCATAGAGAAAGTTCCCAAGCACTGCACACCTAGCAAAGCCATCAGTAAACAGGTGAAAGCAGCCTCAGCCAGCTTCATCCATGGTTTTCAACTGTTTACTAATGGATTTAAATCTGTGGTGTTTGGGACATTTCTCTATGCATATCCACAGTATATGAGGAGTTAGATGGACTCCTGCCCAGCCAGCACCCATTGCAGGAAAAACCAGATGGACTTAGACCTTATGTTTTATAAGGTTACAGAAATTTCCCCAATGTTACACAGACCACAAAAATAAACAGGTAGGGGTTTTAACCCTTTCCTAATCTATTGAAAAATGTCCAAGGACATTTGGGTTCATAGGCATTAACGGTCACACTAGCCACCCAATAGTTATTCTGCAGTAGTGTTTATGAACAATCTGTCCATGTGTCATTCAACCTGGAAGAGAAGCGCCATCTACTTGAGGAGTTTCTGGAGGGGACAGTGCCAAACTGAAGTTGAGTGTTGTGGAAAAAGCTACATTTTTTATTATCGTTTGTGCTGAGCAGTTTATTGGGAAAAAAGTGGAAACTGGAGTTTTGACTTAAAATGTACCTTTCATATAACTTAACACCATTTAATCATTTGTTTTATTCTTTTTGTTCTATTATAGGTTTACTGGAGGGGAACTTAACATGTGTTACAATGCTCTTGATCGTCACATAGAAGATGGACGAGGAGATCAAACTGCTGTTATACATGACAGTCCAGTTACTGACACCAAGCACAATATTACATACAAAGAAGTGTATGAACAGGTAAGTGATTTCAGCAGATATTGTATTAACGTTTTCATCTTTCCTTCATCTGTTTTATTGTTTGTCTTAAAATGCTATTAAAATGCAATTCCACTTTTACAGTCAAATTTGAACATCCCCCTCCCTCCACTATATGTTTTTGTTCCATTCACACAGCATACTTTCAAATATATTTTTTATTATTTTTTACCTTTTCTAGTTGTATCTTTGGAGCAGGTTTATAAATAGGGCTGCAAGCTATTCTGAACAATTTCAAAGTGTAATTAGATGGACAAACTGAAGTAAAGTGCATTAACATGCCATATGCTACCCAAGTCTTGAGATTTGTAACTCTTTTATAACTGATAATGGGATCTGCCAGCACAGTACAGACAGGGTTATTTATGGTAAATATATCTCCAGAGCCTCCGAGTCAAACCCCACTTTGAGATAACTTTAAAATAACTCTCAATCTTTCCTGTTGGTCCCCTACTAGGATTTTTTTTTTTTATCATGCAATGTCACATGCAGAAAACAAAATGAACATATCTTATATGTATGTTGCCTGGGTAGGCACCATCTAAAATTACAAATGAATAAGATTGAATTCCTCAAACATGGTACTTTTTAAAGGTGCCTAATAATACAGTGCATATACAATATAGTTAAAATTCCATCAGTTTATTCCATTCATAAAACACTAAAACGTGGCGTACTTTGTCCAACATAGCTTCTTTTTTATATCCAGTTGCAGACTCTGAACTTATTAGACCCTCCCCAAAAAATGGCATCATTGTACACAGGGCATATGCAATACTTCCAGTCTTTCTGCCCTGCTTCCAGGACCTCCCCTGTCGCAGTAATGGGCAATTCAACTCTGATTAATCGAAGCGGCATTGCCGAGTACACAAGCTGGAGCTGTCAAACAATATATGTATTACGTTTTTATCTTAAGTAATAATGACGTTATCACCTAATAAACCGGTCCATAGCAGAGAATTAAAAAAATGGCTCTGGTCCATAAGGGGTGAACAGGTATAAGAGGCGAAGTGGTTAAATTCAGATATATAGTGCATAGAAATTCTACTAATATTTTTCATGGCGTATCATTATTCTACCCACCCTACTCAATACCACTTGACTCCCTTTGTTATTGCTGGAACTCAATAGTACAAAAGTTCAGAATGTCTCTGGCAGGGGTAAATTGAATAATTTTGTTACAACGCATTTCATGGGTCTCAAATACCGCACTTCTTTAGGTTCTGTGAAACTTTATTGTACTAACACCAATATTGGGATCAGGAGCCTGGGGACCGCCAAATACACACGGTCTCCCCCTAGGAGGAGGACTAATAACGCACAAAAGGATTCCCCTTAGAAAAGGCAAAAGGAAGGAGTGGAGACAAAAACCTTAATGCATAATGTAATAGCCCTCCTCTGTTAGTTCCCCACCGGTCATGCACACTCCCTGTGGAGTGAGGAAACCTATAGGCCTATGTAGCACCTACAATTGTGTAGACAGAAGCAAAAGCACCAAATGGATGTCCCTTCAGGTTAATAGAACAACATATTCTTATAATAGCAGCTTGTTTGCTCTCCGTGGTCAATGTGGGAGGGTAGTCAGTTGCACTGCTCGTCATTTCCTCCTAGTTTTCAGCTCTTGGTGCCAGGGCTAGATCCTTCCCCTCCTGTCCATGGATCTCTAAGATCGCTGCTCATTTATTGTCTCTACTTCCTCTCACCTAACTGTGTCTGAAGCTGTCTTCTTCCTCTATGAGCATTTTTCTGCACATCAGTGCCCTTTGCCGTATGGAACCCAGTCCTTCCTTCTCTGTCCAACATTCTGCTTCGACACCCCCGTTCCATCTATGGAAGGAAAACAACACACCACCACCTGCCTGGAATATTACTTTGGGGCAACATTGCCCTCCGTGCAGTTTGCTGTCCATAGATGGACTAGCCACTCTGCTCACCGAACAGCAGCTGCAAGTGTCCAGTCCCCTGAGCAGGACATTGCAAAGATAAAGCCTGCAAAGGATAACTTTTAGGCAGGATAACAGCAGAATTCTGCTGGTACAAAATAAATAGGGCTAACCTTATGTGATGGTGTATACAGTATCTGTCAAACAGACTACTGAAGATAGATTTTGCCTGCAGTGGGACAATAACATTACATAGAAGAGAAAACCTATACAGAACTTAAAAGCATTACAAATGCTCATTTACCTTTAAAGGATAAGTCCACCTTTCGTAACATGTTACATGTGTAGCACCCTCCTAGTTTAGCTAGGGGGAGCTAGATCCTAATGGTTAGACAGAAGCTGGTTAAATAGCCAGAGGGGTCAAATTGTGGTCAGGGCTGAGAGGTTTTGCAGGTCAGCCCCTCTGGAATTTCCCCCTGCTCTGAGGCTTTCAGAGGAAGGCCTTGGAGGCAGTAGGTGGATTTGAGGATTGGCTGGCTGCTCTCTTGAGGGACCTTGCCCAATCCCCAACAGAAGGCTTGGCAAGAGGCTGGGACTCCCTTAAACGTGTTGGAGTCTGCTCAGTAGGAGGAGTGTGGTGGGAGAGGTGCAGAGAGTTGGAGGAAGATGTGAGGCTAAAGGAAGAAGGCTGCCAGGAGGCCTAGTGAGATGGGGGACTGCCTGCAAGCCTGGAGTTGCAAAAGCGGGAAACTAGGAGCTCCCTGGGCCCCTGAGCGAGGACCACCTATATGGCAGGGAAGGAGCAGCCCAGCTGATAGGCCTGGTAGCAGCAGCCAGCCCGCAAGTGGTACAGGAGAGGATCTGAGAGGTTACACCTGCACCCCCTGAGCAGATAGGGGAAGGAACACTCTGGTGGGAAACCAGATTATCCCCCTACTAGTGACTGTTTACCTATTTAAAGGAACAGGAGCCACTTCAGATTGATGCTCAGGAGAACCTCCAGATTGCTGGGTGAAGAGGAGCATTTCATTTGGGGTCTGGGGTGGCACATCAAGGAGATGCTGGCTAGCTCTCCAGGACAGGTTGTGTTGCAGAAGAGAAGCTTGTGAATAGTTCCAGGAAGTTTGTACTCAATTATTGGTTGTGGGCATCCTGTTCTCCCTTTACCCTATCCCAGTTCTAAATCCCCTCAATAAACAAAAAAACAAAAGCTCAAGAACTAGTTTCTGACTCTGATGCAAGCTTGTGTGGAGAATGCAGATTGCCAGGCTGTGCGGGACTGTAGGGGGACCCAAATTCATCAGCAACCCCTAAGGGGGAGTGCTACACTTTACACTCTTATTCAGGATGTAGGCTGTTATGAATGGACTGGCTCCGACTCCTCCCCACTCCCCATTGTGACAGCTAGCAGGGGATCTTTTCCTCCCCGCTAGCTGTCATAATTTAAAAAAAAAAAAACTCTGCTTCATTCATTCACGGTGAATGAACTGCAAGTCCTGGCAGCCTTTGCCGCTGTAGGATTGTAGTTCTCAATGAACTACCACAGCATTGTGGAGCACTGTGGTATTTCATGGTTTCTTCCGGTCAGTAAATCTGCTTGCTTATACATCCCATATGGGCAGACAGATATACTGACAGATCTGCAGGAGACCCACATGGCACCAGCAATCTGCTGATCGCTGGTGCAATGCTTTAGAGGCCCCAGAAACAAAAAATAATAAATGCACATTTTTTAAACTGCAAAAATTGTGCATTATTTTATATATTTTTATTTATTTTTTGTAAAAAGTTGAATTTATCCGATAACATTCTATGCAAGTTGTTCTAGCCAAATGTGTCCCATATCTCTTGATAACTGTTTGTGCTGTACGCTATAAAAATATTAGGAAAACTGTTAAACAATTGTAACCAGGGGCGGACTGACAACTCATGGGGTCCCTGGGCAATAGGGGATCATGGGGCCCCTGTGTCCTTGCCCAAACCCAAAAAGCCTATGAAAAAGGTACCAGGGGCATCTCATGGGGCCCCCACTGACCCCGGGTTTGTAGCTTACTTTTTTTAGGCAAGGCTGCTCATTGTATTTAAAGTATAACTAAAGGCAAAACTGTTTTCAATGTTCGATAAAGTGGAGAGAGATTAGGACACCTGTTAGGAATTAATATCAGTCTGTGCCCCCGCTAGGGAAATTTCTTTTTTTTTTTTCCTGTTTACCATTAGTATTGAAAGTGTAAATAAAAGAAACCCCCAATTTTGGGTTGTCCTCAAAGAAGTAATGGAGGGGAACCTTTCTAATGGGAACATTACTTCTGGTGACCTGGGGGGTCCCCAAAGAATTAATTTGCAGGGAATTTCTCACTTCTTGTTTTGGCTATGGGGCAGGAAGTGAAGGAAAATCATTCCAATGGGGCACAGATGGGAAAAAAACCTGTTTATAACCCTCCCTTATTCTATTCAAAATGGAAAAAAAAAGTTTTTACTTATAGTTCTACTTTAAAGGGCATGAATATTCATGTGGCCACGAGCTAAACTTCAACCATCGTAAGGTAAATCACAAAACTTTTTTGTTAGCATAACATGTCACACTTCTAGTTTTTCTAGCATCCATAGAAAGGAGAGAGCCAAGGTTCAGAGCTTGTTCACTGGAAAAAACAACAGTAGCATATGTTTGTGCTGGGGATGAGAGTATTTGTACTAGGAGGGGGAGGGAGAAGTGGATTAGTGGTAGGAGGAGGGGTTGGCCTATTCTGAAAGAGAATATATCTACTTGAATAGATTTATATTTTTAAACCACAGTTGGTGCACCCTTAATTTCTTCCATGATCCTATTAACTACATTGTAGTTATCCGCAGTAGTTTTTGTTGTAGATTATATAATGTGTATTATCACATTTTTTGCCAGTTTGATCGGTCATCCGGGAAATATAACCAAACATACACAAAATGGAGGACAACACCCAGGTAAAGCCTGATGCCTTCAGCAACTCACCACAATGTTGTTGTCACAGATTGTGCCCTAGAGATGCCTTGTACCTTAAAACAGAGTTCCGCTCACACTGTAAAAAAATAAAGTCAGCAGCTACAAAAACTGTAGCTGCTGAC